GCGCTGGTGACCTGTGGAGCTCCTCCGCCTGGAAATTTCCCAGTCTGCGGGCAATAAAAATGCGGCATCCACTCACCCTCTGCGCTTACACTGGGAGCTGCAATCCTGAGCTGTTCCTAAAGGGCCATCTTGGATCCTCTCTGTCATCCATGTGTTCTTATTGTTCAGCTCCCACTTATGAAGGAGAACATGCAGTGTTTGGTTTTCTGTTCCTGTGTTAGTTTACTGAGAATGATGGTTTCCAACTTCATCCATGTCCCTGCAAAGGCCATGAACTCATCCTTTTTACTGGCTGCATAGTATTTCATGATGTATATGTGCCACGTTTTCTTTATTCAGTCTATCATTGCTGGGCGTTTGGGTTGGTTTCAAGTCTTTGCTGTTGTGAACAGTGCTGCAGTGAACATACATGTGCATGTGTTTTTATAGTAGAATGATTTATAATCCTTTGGGTATATACCCAGTAATGGGATTGCTGGATCAAATGGTATTTCTGGTTTCAGATCCTTGAGGAATCACCACACTGTCTTCCACAATGGTTTAACTAGTTTACACTCCTACCAACAGTGTAAAAGCGTTCCTATTTCTCCACATCCTCTCCAGCATCTGTTGTCTACTGACTTTTTAATGATCGCCATTCTAACTAGCGTGAGATGGTATCTCATTGTGGTTTTGATTTGTATTTCTCTAATAGCCAGTGATGATGAGCTTTTTTTCATATTTTTTGGCCACATAAATGTCTTCTTTTGAGAAGTGTCTTTTCATATCCCTTGCTCACTTTTTGATGGGGTTGTTTTTTTCTTGTAAATTTTTTTAAGTTCTTTGTAGATTCTGGATATTAGTCCTTTGTCAGATGGATAGATTGCAAAAATGTTCTCCCATTCTGTAGGGGTTGTGTTTTCACTCTGATAGTAGTTTATTTTGTTGTGCAGAAGCTCTTAAGTTTAATTAGATACCATTTGTCAATTTTGGCTTTTGCTGCCACTGCTTTTGATGTATTAGTCATGAAGTCTTTGCCCATAACTATGTGCTGAATGGTATTGCCTAGGTCTTCTTTTAGGGTTTTTATGGTTTTAGGTCTTACATTTAAGTCTTTAATCCATCTTGAGTTAATTTTCATATAAGGTGTAAGGAAGGGGTCCAGTTTCCATTTTCTGCATATGGCTAGCCGGTTTTCCCAACACCATTTATTAAATAAGAAATCTTTTCCCCATTGCTTGTTTTTGTCAGGTTTGACAAAGATCAGATGGTCGTAAATGTATAGTGTTACATCTGAGGCTTCTGTTCTGTTCCATTGGTCTATATGTCTGTTTTGGTACCAGTACCATGTTGTTTTGGTTACGATAGCCTTGTAGTATAGTTTGAAGTCAGGTAGTCTGATGCTTCCAGCTTTGCTATTTTTGCTTGGGGATTGTCTTGGCTATATAGGCTCTTTTTTGGTTTCATGTAATATTTAAATTAGTTTTTTCTAATTCTGTGAAGAAAGTCAGTGGTAGCTTGATGGGGATAGCATTGAATCTATAAATTACTTGGGGCACTATGGCCATCTTCACGATACTGATTATTCCTCTCCATGAGCATGGAATGTTATGTTTGTGATCTCTCTTATTTCCTTGAGCAGTGGTTTGTAGTTCTCCTTGAAGAGGTCCTTCACACCCCTTTTAAGTGGTAGTCCTCGATGTTTTATTCTTTTTGTAGCAATTGTGAATGGGAGTTCACTCATGATTTGGCTGTTTGTCTGTTATTGGTGTATAGGAATGCTTGTGATTTTTGCACACTGATTTTATATTTTGAGACTTCGCTAAAGTTTCTGTCAGCTTAAGGAGATTTTGGGCTGAGATGATGGGGTTTTCTAAATATACAATCATGTCATCTGCAAACAGAGACAATTTGACTTCCTCTTTTCCTATTTGAATACCTTTTATTTCTTATTTCTTCCTCTTGCCTGATTACCCTGGCCAGAACTTCTAATACTGTGTTGAATGGGAGTGCTGAGAGAAGGCATCCTTGTCTTACGCTGGTTTTCAAAGGGAATGCTTCCAGATTTTGCCCATTCGGTATTGGCAGTGGGTTTGTCATAAATAGCTCTTATTTTGAGATATGTTCCATCAATACCTAGTTTATTGAGAGCTTTTAGCATGAAGCGGTGTTTAATTTTATGGAAGGCCTTTTCTGCATCCGTTGAGATTATGATGTGATTTTCGTCGTTGGTTCTGTTTATGTGATGGATCATATTTATTGATTTGCGTCTGTTGAACCAGCCTTATGCCCTAGGGATGAAGCCAACTCGATCTTGATGGATAAGCTTTTTGATGTGCTGCTGATTCAGTTTGCCAGTATTTTATTGAGGTTTTTTGCATTGATGTTCATCAAGGATATTGGCCTGAAATTTTCTTTTTTTTTGTTGTGTTTCTGCCAAGTTTTAATATTAGGGTGATGCTGGCCTCATAAAATGAGTTAGGGAGGATTCCCTCTTTTTCTGTTGTTTCTGTTGTTTGGAATAGTTTCAGAAGGAGTGGTACCAGCTCGTCTTTGTACCTCTAGTAGAATTTGGCAGTGAATCCGTCTGGTTCTGGCCTTTTTTTGGTTGGTAGGCTATTAATTACTGCCTCAATTTCAGAACTTGAAATTGGTCTATTGAGGGATTTGACTTCTTTCTGGTTTAGTCTTGGGAGGTTGTATGTGCCCAGAAATTTATCCATTTCTTCTAGATTTTTTAGTTTATTTGCATAGAGGTGTTGATAGTATTCTCTGATGGTAGTTTGTATTTCTGTGGGATCACTGGTGATATCCCCTTTATCTTTTTTTATTGTGTCTATTTGATTCTCTCTTTTCTTCTTTATTATTCTGGCTAGCAGTCTGTCTATTTTGTTAATCTTTTCAAAAAACCGGCTCCTGGATTCATTGATGTTTTTGAAGGGTCTTTAGTGTCTCTATCTCCTTCAGTTTTGTTGCCCAGGCTAGAGTGCAATGGCACGATCTTGGCTCACTGCAACCTCCACTTCCCGTTTCAAGTGATTCTCTTGCCTCAGCCTCCTGAGTAGCTGAGACTATAGACGTGCACTACCACTTCTGGCTTATTTTTGTATTTTTAGTGGAGATGGGGTTTTGCCATGTTGGCCAGGCTGATCTTGAGCTCCTGACCTCTGGTAATTCACCTGCCTTAGCCTCCTAAGTACTGGGATTACAGGCATCAGCCATCATGCCTGGCCTTCAACATTCTTAAAGAAAAGAATTTTTAACTCAGAATTTCATATCCAGCCAAACTAAGCTTCATAAGCAAAGGAGAAATAAAATCCTTTATAGACAAGCAAATGCTGAGAGAGGAAGCACTAAATATTGAAAGAAAAAACCAGTACCAGTCACCACAAAAACATACCAAATGATAAAGATCATTGACACTATGAAGAAACTGCATCAACTGATGGGCAAAATAACTAGCTAGCATCATAATGACAGGATCAAATTCACACATAACAATATTAACCCTAAATGTGAATGGGCTAAGTGCCCCAATTAAAAGACTGGCAAATTGGATAAAGAGTCAAGACTCATCTGTGTGCTATATTCAGGAGACCCATCTCATGTGCAAATACACACATAGGCTCAAAATAAAGAGGTTAAAGAAGACTTACCAAGCAAATGGAAAGCAAAAAACAAAACAAAACGAAAAAACGGTTTGCAATTCTAGTCTCTGATAAAACAGACTTTAAACCAACAAAGATCAAAAAAGACAAAGAAAGGCATTACATAATGGTAAAGGGATCAGTGCAATAAGAAGAGTTAACTGTCCTGAAGATTCTGCTTTAATTGGTATGAGGTACAGCCTGGTCATTGTTTNCCTTCCTAAGAGGGAGCCTCGCTCTGTCACCCAGACTGGAGTGTAGTGGCACAATCTTATTTTGCTGCAACCTCCAGGTCCTGGAGTCAGGTGATTCTGCTGTCTCAGCCTCCCAAGGAGTTGGGACTTCAGGTGTGTGCCACCACGCCTGGCTAATTTTTGTATTTTTTTTTAGCAGAGACAGGGTTTCACCATATTGGCCAGGCTGATCTTGAATTCCTGACCTTGTGATCCACCTGCTTCAGACTCCCAAAATGCTGGGATTACAGGTGTGAGCCACTGCACCCAGCTGGTCATTGGGGTTTTTACATTCTTCCCAGATAGTTTAATGTACTGCAGTGTTTAAGAACTGCTCTTAGGGGCTTGGCTAAGTAATACTGAACCTTAGAGAAGCTGTGATTTGCTCAGGATCATATGGTAGGTGTTGGCAAAATCAGGTCCAGGATCATATGGTAGGTGTGTGGCAAAATCAGGTCCAGTCTCTTAAATATTAAGTTCTTTATTCTGAATAATACTCTTTTAAAAGCTTGTAAAATTGACAGTCATGTCTTTACTCAAAATGAAATAAAACCAAGAAGAGATGAGTTAAACACTGAGTTTTGTTAAATTTGGGGAATATACTTTACTTTTAGAATTTTCATTTTTAAAGGGAGATTGTGAAATCTATTTTTAAGGATCTGTGGTTACCTAAATTGAAGGCTGGCAGGCTACCGTGTGGCAAGAAGTGGAGGTCTTGATCTGATCCATTTCTTCTTTGTATGTTTAAGTATGTTTTTATGCCTTGCTAAAAATGTTAGATAGAGATTGTCTAGCTTACTTACTGGGAAATAATATTAAATGAATAATATTAATTATTATTAAATAACAAATATATTAGACTCCATTAAGAAATCATGCTTCCAGAAGAAACATTTCACTAATGATTTTCTCAATTTACAGTAATTACTATCAGAGTATTTCTGTTTTGAGTTTTTTATTTTATTGAATGTCTTATACCAAGTTTATTTTACTTTTGCTTTTTAGCAGTTTAAGGAAAGTAGAGTATACTGAGTTTTTATTTTACTGTTGAAAAATTTATTTTCTCATTTTTAATGATGAAATCTCACATTACACTTGAATTAACTGTAAAAACTTTTCTTCCTTCCCCCCGTGGTTTTAGACCAACAGCAGCAGAACTGTTAAGGCACAAATTTTTCCAGAAAGCAAAGGTAGGAAATCCCAGCTTTTGATTATGTGTATTCATAGGATGCTCCTCAGTTACTCAGATTATGTTCACTGCTCAGAGCTGCATGATTATGTTTGGAAAAATGATGGTAGATAAAATAATTGTAGAAAGCACTATGTATACAATCTTTGGTAATTAAGATACTTTAGTAAATCCGTTTTTAAATATTAGGTTAAACTAATCATAGGAACAATGATTATTTTGCCATTATAAATATAATTTGTGAAAAATAATGAACTCTGATTTTAATTAAGGTTTGCTGCTAAATTTGTAAACATCTCATTTCCTAGAGATATCAGGTGGTGGGATGTTACTGTAGTTGGAAATGGAGGACCATGATCTCAAAGAACATACAGTACAGCAAACTTTTCGTAGGCAATGGTTCATACGGTGTGCTACATCTTAATTTTCTGTCTCAATGTATGAAATTGTGATAATAATGTACTAAAGGAGCTTCAGAGTAAAAAAGTTTTTCTCATACTTCATTACAGACCTGTCACTATATCACATTTTGATTATGGTGAACATTTTTGTGGGGTTTGTTCGGTTCCATAAAAACTTATAAGAACAAAATACTTACTTTTCCTCTCCAGAATAAAGAATTTCTTCAAGAAAAAATATTGCAGAGAGCACCAACCATTTCTGAAAGAGCAAAAAAGGTAAATCGGAATTTAACTCAGTTTTCCTGAAAAATTACTTAGAGTAGATTTACTTTATTTTTGCATTTTAAAAATATGTTAAGTAATACATTGTTAACAGTATATGAGTATTACTGGTTTTCTTTCAGTCCTTTCTAAAGCATTCTTTGATACATTCATTCAGCAGATATCTTTAGTCTACTGTATGCCTTGGTATTACTCTGCTATCTATTAGGATGAAAAGGTATGCTAGAAATTAATTGGTAAATCAGTCACAAACTCTGTTTGATAACTGTTTCCAGCTACCAGAGTGAGTTGTGATTTTACATAGCATTTATAGCTTTGACCGTAAGTCACAGTACCCTCTTGTAACTCCAAATTTTCTGTTACTTTTACTGAAAGACTGAAAGAACCTTATTATGCATATGTAATTTCTAAGAGATTAGGTCATAATGTGAGTGTAGAGAATGCTGTAATATCTCAGTTTGGGCAGCATATATTAATTTTCCTGTCCATGATACTTTTATGAACCTCAGTGAGAGCAGGGAGAAGAAAATCTTCCCTTTTCCCCTCTCTTACCCACTCAAGCAGACTTATCCAATGTGAAGGAAAGGAGGCAGCTTGGGCTTCTGCTGAGGTAGACCTGAAGAAGGTAAAGGTCTTATTTATACCTTATATAATATAGTGGTAGGCCTGTCCAAGAAGTTAGAAGAATTATACTAGCAGTGACTTACTCTCTTCCATAGATCTCACTGCTTGGAAATTTTGATATTATTCCAATAATTTAACACAATAAAGAACCAGAAAAGTATATTAAATACTTGGAAATGATATTCTTAATAAGCACTGGTAGAATAGTCAACTTGTCTCTCTGATTTAGAGATACACCATTTTCAGTGGCTGTAACTCATTGTTACATATCAGAATCAGTTGGGGACTTAAGAAACATAAACAGTGTCATCCAAAACCAATCAAAGTCATGTCTCTAGTGGGTGAGACCTGGAAGATTATCCTTATGGATAGCTAAAATCTAAAATCTAGGCTAAAATCTCACTTGACTAATTCCTTCGCTTTCTGTCAAGTCTATTCAAATGACCCTTCCTCAGAGTAATATTCTCTGATTACTAAAGTAATACCCTCCCATGACTCTCTGTCCCTTTATCCTGCTTGTCACCATCTGACGTTTTACAGTCTTTCTGTACCATTAGAATAAAAGCTTAATGAGAACAGGGACTTTTTTTCATTACCATATCTTCAGTGTGCCTAGAATAGCTCCTGACAAACAGGATATTCTTAAATAATATATATCTTAAAATTTCTGTGCTTATTATTGTTTATAATAAATCCCACCTGAGAGACATCTTGATTTAGTATCTGAAATCTGATTAATTTAAGAAGAGTAGGTCAGGCACGGTGGCTTACGCCTATAATCCCAGCACTTTGGGAGGCCAGGGCAGGTGGATCACTTGAGGCCAGGAGTTCAGGCTCAGCTTGGCCTGCGTGGTGAAACCTCATCTCTACTAAAAATACAAAAATTAGCTGGGCGTGGTAGCACATGCCTGTAATCCCAGCTACTCGGGAGGCTGAGGCATGAGAATAACTTGAACCCAGAAGAGGGAGGTTGCAGTGAGTCGAGATTGTGCCACTGTACTCCAGCCTGGGCGACAGAGCGAGACTCTGTCTCAAAAGAAAAAAGTGAGCCTCAGGCTGGGAATGTGGTGACTCGTGCTTGGGAGGCTGAGGTGGGAGGACAGCTTGAATCCAGGAGTTCAAGGCCAGCCTGAGCAACATAGTGGGACCCCATATGTACAAAAAGAATTTAAAAATTAATGAGGTGTGGTGGTGTACACATCTAATCTCATCTTCCTAGGATATTGAGGTGGGAGGATCACTTGAGAGGGTGAAGCTACAGTGAACTGTGATCATACCATTGCACTCCAGCCTTGCTGAATACCTACATTTGTTTCCACTCGCCTGCCAAAAATAATCTACTGAAAGAATTGTTAAGAGAATTAAAAAGGAGGCCAGGCACGGTGGCTCATGCCTGTAATGCCAGAACTTTGGGAGGCTGAGGTGGGCGGATTGCTTGAGCTCAGGAGTTCAAGACCAGCCTGGGCAACATGGCGGACTCTGTCTCTACTAAAAATACAAAAATTAGCCGGGCATGGTGGTGTGTGCCTGTGGTCCCAGCTACTCAGGAGGCTGAGGTGGGAGGACTGTTTGAGCCTGGGGAGTAGAGGTTTCAGTGAGCCAAGATCATGCCACTGCACTCCAGCCTAGGTGACAGAGCGAGAGACCCCATCTCAAAAAGAAAAGAAAAAAGAGAATGAAAAGAAAAGGAATAAACCCCTAGTGGACTACAAATGGGAGAAGTGAAAGCTGCAACCAAATTTGCAAAACTGTGATGCCTGCAAGTTAGGGGTAAGGGACTTGGCAAATCAGAGGACTATAACTGCTAAGCTAGTATTAAGAAAAGCTTAGAAGCTTCCTTAAACAACAGAACCCAAAAAGATAAGGGAATTAACAGTGCCAGGTTCCTCCAGAAGTGAGAGTGAAAGTAAGGCTAAAAACTGGAGGATTGGTTGAAAGTCTTAGAGACTCTGGTTTCCCTCCCTCCCTCACTCCATGTTGCACTCCAAGAGATGGAGGTTTATCCTGCCGAAGGGTAAAAAAAATGGTGTCTGAACTGAAGGACCCCAGGCACAGTTAAAGATGGGAATCACTTACTGAAAAAGGGCTTTTAAGTAATTGTTTACACACTGAATGTTAAGAATCTCTATTCATATTACTTCATTCACCTCCCGTAGCATAAACATTAAGGCTTATTACCCCCTAGACAAGACATTGGAAAATCCTTATTTGATCAGTCTGACTAACCCAAGAGGAAAAACAAAAATACTGACATTGGAGGTGGGAAATGCCCAGATCATTCTGCAATGAAGCAAACCCCACTCACCTAAAAGCTCAGTGCTTCCAATCAGTGTTTTAGTTCCTTGCTCTTAAATGTGAGCATAGATCTAGGATCACAGGATACCTGAAGAAAACCTCTTAATGTGAAAGATAGAGGACAAAATAGAAGGATAAAAAAGAAACTTACAGGAAACAGACTTTGTAGGAAGATAATTTAAATAAAAATCATGGCTCTCTTTAAAGAGAAGAGTTTATATTCACTAGGCCTGGTAGCCCACGCTTGTAATCCCAGCACATTAGGAGGACGAGGCGGGAGGATCACTTGAGCCCAGGAGTTCTAGACCATCCTGGGTAAGAAGGCAAGACCCAGACTACCCAAAAAAAAAAAGAAAAGAAAAAAATGGTGGGCATGGTGGCATGTGCCTATGGTTCCAGCTGCTCGGGAGGCTGAGGCAGGAGGATCGCTTGAGTGCAGGAGGTAGAGGCTATAGGTAGCCATGTTCGCGCCACTGCACTTCAGCCTGGGTGACACAGTAAGACCCTGTCTCAAAAGAAAAAAAAAGAGTTTACATTCACAAAAAATGAACGTGATACTTTTAAAGAAGCATTTGTGCCATGACAATTCAGTGAAGACTAAAGAATCATCTTCAAATGGCCTTGGTACAACTGAATATTCACAGGCAGAAGAATGAAGTGTTGGGTCTTTTCCTCTCATCCTACAAAAATATTAACTCAAAATGGACTGAAAAGAGCTAAAGTTATAATACTTTTGGAAGAAAATATAGCTATAAATCTTTGGGAACTTGAGCTAGGCAAAGCTTCCTTAGGTATGATACCAAAAATACAACCAATAAAAGGAAAAATAGGTAAATTGATTTTATCAAAAGTTAAAACTTTTGTGCTTCAATAGACACTAGCAAGAAAGCAAAAAGTCTACAGAATGGGAATAAATATTTGCAAATCATATGTATGATAAGGGACTTGTATCTAGAATATATAAAGAACTTTTGCAACTCAATAATAAAAAGACAACACATTTTTTAAAATGGGCAAAGGATCTGAATAGAAATCTATTGAAAGAAGATATATAAATGGCCAATAAACACATGAAAAGATACTCAATATTATTAGCCATCAAAAAATGCAAATCAAAATAACAAAGAGGTACCACTTCACACCCACTAGGATGGCTATAATCAAAAAGACAGTAACAGCTGTTGGTAAAGATGTGGCGAGATTGGAACACTTCTACACTGGTCATGGGACTGTGAAATGGAGCAGCCACTTTGGAAAGCAGTCTGGCAGTTCCTCAGAAGCCTAAACAGAGTCACCATGTGACCCCGCAGTTCTACTCCTAGGCACACGCAAGAGAATTGAAAACGTAAGTCCACAGAAAAATGTGTATGCTGCTCATAGCAGCATCATTCATAATAACCAAAAAAGTGGAAACAACCCACGTGTTTCATCAGCTGATGATGAGATTTATAAAATGTGGTATATTCATACACTAGAATATTATTTGACAATAAAAAGCAACGAAGTACTGATACATGCTATAGCATGGATGATGTTTTCAAACATTATGCTAGTTTTAAAAGCTCGTCACAAAAGACCACATTGTATGATTCAATTTATGTGAAATGTTGAGAATAGACAAATGTATAGAGACAGAAAGTAGATTAGTGACAACTTAGGACTGGTGGCTTTGGAGAGAAATGGGCACTTATTGCCAAAGAATATGGCATGTCTTGTGAGGGGTGATAAAAATGTTCTAAATTTTATGGTAGTGATGGTTGCACAACTCTGAATACACTAAAAATCATTGAATTGTGTACTTTCAGTGAGTCAGTTGTATGT